TAAAACTATGAATGAACCTTATATCTATGTATATAAAGTTAATAATCGCCTGTCACTAGTAAAACGCTTGTCAAACACCGCATCCATCACACGACCACGCCCGCGTCTTGATGCTTAAAAGCAATCCCTTCATGTTGAAATTTAAAGTTAATATCTTTAAGAGTATTATTAAATAGAATATAATATTATTAAATATAGAAATAAGTAAATATATTACATCTAATTCTTTATAATACAGTAACAATGAAGTAAAACTGACTACTGTCAGCCATTGTGACATTTATTGATATATTTTTAATTAAACACAGCGTTGGTTTATTACATACAGCCAAAGAACTTAAAAAATACACTAAATACATTAATATTGAATGTTATTTACAAAACTAATGCAAAAAATTTAATAGATTATCAGTACTTAATATTATAAATGCGAATGTAACTCTGTCTGTCTATCCATTACGCTTTCACGCCTAAACCACTGAACTGATTTTAATGAAATTTGGTACAGACATAGAGTTGAGCTTGTAAAAGAACATAGGATAGTTTTTATCCCAGACTTTTGAAAGGTTCTCTTGGAAACGCGATATAACCGAACTCCACGCGGGTGAAGCTGCGGGCGGAAAGCTAGTAGAAAATAAATTACGGTATTACTGAAAATATTACATACAATATTGGCGAATGGCGGGAAGTGACAATAATACTTCAAATTGAAATGTCGACACAGATAAGATTTATTGAGTGAAATAGCTTACTAAGTAAAATATGTAATTTCTCTAATTTTTATAAAAAAATATATGTTTATAAAAATTAAAATAATTTAAATTAACAAAAACATACAAAGTTAGAACGAATTCAATTATTACAATAATGTTTTTGTGAAATCTTTCTCGTTTCTTTGAAGTTTGAGAAAAAGAATCCGAAATCGTTTTTACATTTCATTATTTTCTTATTATGATAAATATTTATTTTGTGTCTGGAGTCCTACAAAGATATAATTTAACAGAACAATATATATAATTGTAAAGAAAATATCTTTTGTATCTAATATGAAAGATATTAAAAATTTGTTACTGTTTTATGATAAACCAAAACACGTCATTACATTTGAAAAATAAAAACAAATCGCTGGCAATTTAATACGAAAAAGAGGGCGGGAAAGGAATGTTGAGATGGACGGAGCTACCAACTTGAATATACAACGAGTGTACCAACAAAAACATACTTTATAACTACGAAAATAAAAGTCATATTCACATCTATGATCATACCGAAGATCCTTTTTAAATTAAAAAAAAGAACGCTCATTGACTTCCGTTTTTAACATTAATTGTTAAGATTCTCGTTTGAAGAATTTCGTTAGTTAAGTTTGGAATTTATTAAATAGTTATACGTCGTCTCATTCATGTAATATAATTGTTTTTAACGGACACATCAATGGACACGTGTTTAAAAATTGTATTATAACAGTAACTTTCATTAAAAACAATCAAACAAAAAATATATTATGGCGAATAACTCGTTAATCATGAACAATGAAACGTACAAGACGCGGGAACCGAAAAATAAACCTATTATATATTCTAAAATGAGTCTTAACTTTATATAATAAGGTTTAAATTTTAAATAACATAAACCTCGCCAGAGACCGCCCGAGGCATGGCACGGGCTGGAATGCCTAGAAATCTTACCATTATCTGTGCTTCGACTTGTTTTTTTCTATCTTTGAAATAACTGTCAATAAATAATTATAGAGCAGCGCCATCTGTTGGCGATGGAAGTAGGAAAATTGCGTTTTGATTTATTTCAATTTAACCATTAAAAAAAGAAATATAAAAGTTATAATGAAATGTTTCTTAATACTGAATTAAATTTAGTTAATTTTGGGAATGAAGAGTAGAAAATATAAGGGATAATATTTAGAGCACTTGTCAGTGGAGCCCCAAAAACTGGTTTAATAATAGTCAAATCAAAAAAAATCCCGGGAACGTCCATCGCTCAGCTGCTAATAAGTAGCAATTAAGTCGTCAATAGAGCCTTCAGAGAACATCTCGACCGATCTATAGATCACACTTGACGCTTAAAAACTATTATTTATTATTTAGCTTAATTGCACGTCTAGAGGAAGATTTTGATATATATTATATATTGTAATTTGTTACTCATTCTAGTATAAAGCTACGATCATCTGTCATTTATCTATTTCGAAGATTACATACTATCATAATGTTTAAAATATTAGTTTTGTATTTGAAAGTCATCCTATACTTATATGAACCTTCTTTCAAAACTAACTATTTCGTTGGTAAATATTTTTTTAAATATAAATTGTTAGCCATTTTTATGTTTATTATTTTTTCATCATAATCCTATTATTTATATAGTTAGCTCAATATAATTAATCTATTTATTTTCCACTTTATTATTTAAGGTAAGCTGCAAGAAGAAATCTAATTGATGACCGAAATAAGAAAATACTCTGAAGAAAATGACCTTTCGTTGTGTGCCTGCTTTTCAAACTGTGTCTAACGACAGTAATGCCACCTGGGTGAGTTTATACGAAACGTGCTTACTGAGGTTCGACTACCCGCCGCTAGATGACGCTACTTGTGCCTCTCAAACCTACTAGTATTAATACTTAACTGAATATAAAATAAAAAATTACTACCAAAATTACCATTATTAAATATTCTGTTTTAAACATTAAATTTAATTTTTTTTATATATACTCCGTTTTATCATATTTAAATTCATTTACGTAAGCGCCATCTTTGACACGTTTTGAAAATTCATAAGAAGTGGAGCGGCATTGCACGTAATGTTTTTTTGTGAATATAGATGGCGATGTGTGTTCAAAATGAGGTACCGACAATAAAAATCATAAATTAGAATTATTACAATGTTATTGTGAAAGCTTTCATTTTTATGTCTTAATAAAACATATACTTTAGACGCCCACTATAACTGTTAGTGTCAAGTTTTCGTTAGTATTTTGTCAGTGTAGGTGTCAAGTGTCTTAAGGTAAACTAAAGTCCTAAAAATTCGTTGACCTTTAAAGAATTGACATGTCAATATGTCTGACCTCCGCCCACGTTGTCGTTCAGTTCCTTGTTTGTCAGACTTTCTAAATATATTAGCTTTCATCCTCTCGAAAAATATATATATAGTAGTCAAAAAAGTCATATTTTTAACATATCTTCTTCAGAAGAAAATAATTGGTCGAGCGTCATACACTTCGTTGAAGTCTTTTTATCGCAATTTAGAGTTACGTTCGTGAAATAAAAATGTTTTAAATTGAAAAGCAAATATTTCGAATAATTTTACTTTTTTTGACATTGGCTGAATATTTTGTGCACAATTCGCACGCATGACGGCAATAAATTAAAAAAATTAAGCTGTAACTCTCATACTTGGCAAAATATTTCTTAACACGCACGATAAAGATTTTCAATAAATAACATTCCACGAAATAATTATTTATTACGGTCACCTAAATATATTGAGTTATATAAATTAATTTTAACTGTAGTTATACTTATTATGTAACATTATGTCTAGCGAATGTTTTATGAAAGACCATTTCTCAATTGAGTCAAAGTCTTTACTGATTTTTAACTCATAAATATTAAAATACTTGATTTTATCCCAAACTTTCTTAAAATTATTAATCTATCAACGGGAGCTTCTACAAGGTCCCAAATGTATTTACACACACATATATATATTGTGTTCATACACACACACACACACGCAAGCTTCAATCAAACTTGAATTTTAATATGAAAGGGTTTCGCGCACGCTGATAGCAAGCTTTTCTTGTGCTTTGGACAGTATATGTAAAAAATACAGATAAATAATATATTATATAATACATATTTTCTTACATAATTCCTTAGAAATAGGAATAAACGACAGTCAGAAATAGAATTTTTATTTATCGTAAAAAAACTTAAAGAAAATATTTTATTTGTATAACTAGTTTTTGCCCGCGACTTCGTCCGCGTTAGTTTCGTCATTAGTATGTAATATATGTATAGCTGACCAGGCGAACTCTATTCCGTCTTAGAGGCCATTAATAATCAGGTTTTTCCTGTTTCAATCAAACAGAATTATTGACATATTAGTTAGTTGTCAAATCTAATGTCAAAAAAAGCGTTTGTATGGGAAATAGAAAAGGGCTGGTTTTAGGGTTTTCCCGGCAATTACTCCAATTTTTCTCACCTTTTATACCTTCCCTGAACCTCCACGAACATTTCAAGACTAAGATAAGACAAATCCGTTCAGCTGTTCTCGAGTTTTAGCGAGACTAAGGAACAGCAATCCATTTTTATATATATAGAAGATTATAATCTTCAAGATTTCTATGAAAATATATAAAAAATATATTTACCTTTATATAATATCATTAAACCTGTATGTTTAATCTGTTTATTTCCTACATACTGTCGTATCCCCGTCTGCGTACAGTCTGTGAGTCTCCGCGCCCACTCCATGTGATAGCCTCGAGCGACGCGCGCTCACGTGCTGCGCGGGAGATTTGAATTTGGAACGCTTATTTGACAGATTATTTATTTTTATTAATGACAGTTGACAATATTTTTTTGTTTTTTTTTTTCATTATTTCTATCGTGCCAGTGCCAGTGATTGATTTTAAAAAGTTTTTATACTTCGAATGTTTTGTTTTCAAATGAAGTTATTATAACGTGACCGTGTTGGACTTAAATCGATTCGAAAATAGAATTCTCATACTAAATATAATACCGATAATCGTGTAAAAGTTCACGATTGCTCAACAATGAGCCGTCCAGAATGTGTTGAGCTGTGGTTATAGTATTTTGGACGGTGTTTGTACAACAATAGGGGGTCATGATATGTTAGTTGTAAATAGTAAGATAATGATATCTGATTTACGCTGTGTTAAACTTACAATAAGACGAGATAACCTTAAGCATACAATGTGATCAATTACAAGAATCATCCATGATTATAGATATTAAGAAAAAATGAAAGACAATAAAGACATCAAACGTAATATAAATATAAGTTTAGATAAAGACAGCAATAAAACAATAAGATTGGAGCTACGACACCCGGACCATGTAACAGATTATAAAATGAACGGACAAATGGACGTCGGATTGATTGGAATTAGTGAGGATGATAACCATGAAGATAATCGAAACGGAAATGACGAAAAAGTAAGTTATCATATACGATATATAAACTCCTTAAAAGTTAATCATGTTCTATTTTCAAATTTAAAAAAATATATAACTTTATTTTAAAAATATACAAACTTTTTGCTAACCAACCTCCTTTATTGATTACTATAATGACAAGAACGCGCCGTATATGACGATACAGAGTAAATATTATTTATCTAAAGCCATAACACTATCCAGCATCTAATCTCGGTAATGACCTGATACAGATAATAGAACAGGAGCCGTATTAGGAGGAGGCAAAGGTCGCACTTTGATACAGCCGGCTGAGAAATATATGTATTGTTTTAACTTAACTGTGTATTGAATGTACTTAAATTGATTTTAAATTATTATTTCGAACTAGCTGATCCGACAAACCTCGTACTAAATAAATAATTTTTATTTATTTTCTTGGAGTTTACCTTTAAGCCATAACTAGCCGTATTCTGAAATGCGACATGTCAAATGTCAAAAAACTTTTGTATGGGAAATAGGAAAGGGCTGTTTTTAGTTTTTTCCCGGAAAAGAATAAAATTTTTTCAGTTTTTAAACCTTCCCTGAACCTCCACGAACATTTCAAGACTAATATAAGATAAATCCGTTCAGCCGTTCTCGAGTTTTAGTGAGACTAACGAACAGCAATTCATTTATATATATAGATATATATATTTAATCATAATATTAAAATATTTTCTGAAGCATACAATAAAGAGACACGCTAGTATAGAATACAATGACATCCGCGTATTCTACCAGTGATTGTCAAATATTTCGTAACCGGCCAGATGTAGTGATAAGGCTCCGTTACTGATAACGATCTGACCCGCCATTGGTGAATTAGAACGGAAATGACGTTCATTAAAAACGATATCCGATTGTATATCTGATAACAAGATATTAATAATTTTTTACATTAAGATAATATATACAGGGTGACTGGTGAATTACTATCGATACTTGAGGACGTGATATTTGACGATCATATATGACAAAATAAAAATTAATATAACATAAATATTAATAAACTTCTAAATAAAGTTAACCAAAAGTTGTGTAATTAATTACGCATCGTATGAACACTCTACAGATTAGGTATGCATACACACACACACGCGTGCTGATACAACACTACGCCGCCGCACGCGTCCACACTTGGAACACATGGAACGTGTCCACGCTTTATTTATTTATACGGAAATTTGGTCAAATATTAAGTACCTATTTTTTTTACACAATTCGAATGAGAATCATGTACCGAGTATTCTCCTTAAATATTGATAGTAATTCACCAGTCACCCTGTATATACATAGTAAAAAACCTCAATGGTTTAATTTAACTCGATTTGAAGTAATTAGACGGATAAAATTTCTTTTTTTAAATCATGTAACAGATAATAAATTTTATGTCAAAAGCAAATTTCTAATGTCAAATCTAGTTTGTTTCAGCCTACGCGCAATTTTTGTACCTCTTATATTCGGTAATATAATTTAGAAAGCAGTTTACAAGTTGACTTGATACATTTTAGTTAATCGATATTAAAAAAAATTAATGAATTACCCGCCATTTTGTTGAGTATATTTTTAACTTATAATATATATATATATATATATATATATATATATATATATATATATATATATATATATATATTAGTTAAAAGAAATCTTTATCTAATATATCAATATATATTAAATGTCCACCTACACATTAATGAACACTAGCCATATACAATGACAATAGAGACGCTTAGAAAAAAAAACATGTCTTCAAATAACAGTACTATTAAAATTTATATTCTATTTAAATTTATAATATATTGCTACTTATCTATTACATAGAGACGAAACTACATCATTCAATGTATTCACTGTGCGTGTGTCGGGTCCATCTTTGTAGAGAGGAGCTTCAACAGTGACTGTGACTTGTGACCCAGGTGTAGGTTTAAGGGACCCTATCTAACGTCATACACTCACCTCCACCGTCCAAGCTCCTCTCTTAACCAAATTTGAAAATAACCTACTAGGGCTGCCTTCTATATTAAATAAGTTTATATTAATATAATTTATTACATAATTCTTAACACATCGAGCCACGAATTCGTGACAATCGGACATGACAAGCGTCACTGACATTAAAGGTTGTCATATCCATTGTAACAGAATACAGATTAGAGTGACTTTGATTGCTCAATATGATTTTAATAAATGTTATATGGGAATATTAATTAAATAAAATTTATTATTCATTTACAAATACATATGTTATTTCGTGGTTTTTCTTATCACCGTCTTTTTATATACATAGTACTAGCTCTTCGCCCGCGTGGAGTTCGGTTATATCGCGTTTCCAAGAGAACCTTTCAAAAGTCTGGGATAAAAACTATCCTATGTTCTTTCTCAAGGTCAACTCCATCTCTGTACCAAATTTCATTAAAATCAGTTCAGTGGTTTAGGCGTGAAAGCGTAACAAACAGACAGAGTTACTTTCGCATTTATAATATTAGTAGGTTTTTATTTAATCTCATTTCTAAGATTTTTTTAATGTGATGAATGACTTAAAAATCTACAAGACTAAGTTAATCAACTTTCCTGTTATTTTTAACATAAATCTGAGTTAACCAGTAATTTAAGTTAACTCGTTAACTCGTTCACTTTAAACCACTGTAGTGGGTCATCGTGGACCGTTGACGGGATTGTCAAAAAAAAAATAGCTTTTTAATTAATTTTTTTAACAATTTTCCTGTATATTATTAGAAATAATAAGTTATACTTTTTTATAAGATCAATTAATATAAAATTTGACTGACAAATACTTGCCTAGAACTTTCTAGAAGGTTAAAAAAGATAGTACTTTTGTTACATCTATTTCTAGATCAAAATATTCTATACATTAATAATCATAATATTTTTAGTATATATTTATAATACATATATACGCCGGCGAATTTACTTTCGATAATATATATAATATTTGTTCTAGTATTTTTTATATCAGCAGTATTATTTAAATTATATAATACAATAAACCATTGTATATATTAATGTATTTAACTTCCACCCAAGTTTCCTCTGTACGGGACAGGTTTTTCCTTATATTATGAGTTTTTTGTGACAGTTCAATGTACCCGGGCCGTGTCACACGTTCGTGTTAAACCAGTACATGTGAAAAATTATTATTATGATTTATTATATATATATTGAGGATACAATAAAGAGAGAGAGAGAGGGAGAGAAAGAAAGAAAGAGAAAGGTTATGTTTTAAAAATCTAGACAAAGTTTATCAGCTATCCTACTAATATTATAATTGCGAAAGTTTGTGAGTGTGTATGTTTGTTACTTCTTCACGCTCAAACGGCTGAAGCGATTTTAATAAAATTTTGTATACAGGAAGCTGACGTCCAGGAATAATACATAGGCTACTTTAAATCCCAGAAATCCCGGAAATCCGCAGGGCGCAGCTAGTAATAATATATTTTATAATACATACATCAGTACAAGATTGTAAAGCCTTAATAAAATTCTACTTTAGATTCTACTGGAATGATACTTACATATATATATATATATATATACACATATATATATATATATATATATATATATATATATATATATATATATAGTCTATATTCTTCTAATGATGAAATTCGTCATATATTTAATATGTAAAGTACTCCGTATCACTTGTCGCGACACACTTAGCTAGCAAGTTACCAAAGAGCTCTCACTACAAGCGCCCACGCTTATATTTTCAAATTACTATCTGCACTGCCGAAAATAATTTATATAACATACTAGTTCTTACTCGCGACTTCGTCTGTTTTTATACGTAATTGATTGACAGTGAAAGAAATTAAGTGTGATTAAAAAGTAAGTTTTAGTAATTAATGACAGCGCCATCTGTGTTTCTTAAAAATTAACTTACTGTAATATGAGAATAATTATGAATGAAAACTTTTAACTCTCCGTATGTAGTAAGATGAAAACTTGTTATAATATAAAGTTATGGTGATGCTGTCTATTGTTTTCGTTTGATATATCGACCGTCTGAATACGATACAAGTTTATTACGACGCTAATGTATTAAAAATTATAATAATTTGTATATTTTTGATATAATATTATCTATATAGAGACAAAAGATGAAATTTCTTAGTATTCAATGTATTCGTGCGTGTGTCGGGTCCATCGTTGTAGAGAGGAGCTTCAACAGTGACTGGGACTTGTGACCAGGTGTAGGTTTAAGGTTCTATCTAATATATAAGTATATAACTAAACTACTGGTAGAATCCTTTATAGTAATTCACAATGTCGGAATAACATTAATTCATAATTGTATATATTCAAGACTGTTCTCATCTCGTCTGTCCGTGATCACGGTTGCTGTAAAGTAACAGAAACGTCGGCAGTATGTAGTTAAAATAATAAAAAATTCGTAGTAATCTAAAAATATTAGTTTTATTTTAATGAATTCTCGCGAAAATCTTATATCATATTGTAACAAGTTAATATGAATGAAAGACTCGAAACTTTAAATATTCAGTCTTACACTCCGAACTATTGGTAAATGCGTAATAGTTTAAAATTAATTTCATTTACCTTGTTGAGTATAAGAAATAGATTTTTTTTCAAACAATCTTATAATAACAATTGCATTAGAATGAAATCGAACCCGGAACAAATTGAATTGAACTGAGATTCAAATGTACTACTGAGCCTGCTTTAAGTCATCTTGCGAAATATTTTACATATGAAACACAATGACTACTCCATTGTAATTGTCAATATAAATTGTATTAAGGACAGAAATGTATAGAGCGGAATTTTTTTTTTCATATATCAAACGTTATGTAATATATATTTTTCTTTATATATTTAATATTGATAATTTTATTTATAATTAATTATTACTATGTAAATTTGTGTGTAATGTTTAAAGATATTACGAACAGTGAAAACACATGGCTTAAGCTGTACAAATCAGTAAAAAGCAC